TGGCCCGCCTGAACTAGTCCAATCGGAGGCTAACCCGGCCCGGATCCGATCGATTTTGTCATGCAGGTAACACCCAAATTCCTCTGCCCGACCCTGCAAAGGGACATCCCGGACCCTCTGATGAAGGAGGGAGTGGGACACCCTAAACAGGGCGGCAGATCGGTTACCTGCAGACGCGATAAGAGCGGAGAAATAGTTGCGTTTCGCCACTCTTATCGCTACTAGGTAAGTCCTCAAATGGGACTTTACCAATTTCCAATCGGATTCGGAGCGGGTGGCCCTCCAATTACTCTCTAGGCAGTAAATACAGAGGCAGTAAATATCCTGTGTGTGTGTGGTTTGGAATTTTTTTTCTTTTAAATCAGCTTTGGAAATCCGGTTTTTCTTAAGCAGAACACATAATCTGGATGTATAGATTTAGGTATTTAAGATTTCCTGCATCAGTGGGATATATTCAACTACACACTTGGGAAAAGGGCTAATGAGACCAACAAAGTAGAAAAGATCAATTAATAAGCCATAATACATTTAATGACACACAGAGCATCCATTGCACCTAATAGATAAAATAAGTTAAGAGAAAGTCCAATAATTTCATCATATTGGCCAAAACTTCCCCTGCAGGCTGTTGGGCCCAAGCCAAACATTGGATCGCACCCAACACAAAATCTTCTATGATTCTGTCATGCTGTATAATTTATACCACTTTTCCTTTCTCCAGGTTGATCCTTATTTCTGTATATGCTTCTATTAGCAATAACATTTCAAGCCCTGTCCTACTCTAGGTATACATTTCTGAAAGTATGAAAAAAATATGCCAACATTGTGAAAGATAGTTCTAGATCATTATCTGTCTTGATTTTAGCTTAGCAAGATATGCAAATTCACCCATTATAATCTACTGCTACACATGAACCATGCTACTACAGCTTATTACACAGAGCTCTATTTAAAACCTTTTAATAGCACTGTTTATGAATCCAACCAATGGGAAAAATAGGTTTTCTGCTAGATATCAGCCTGTCATAAAAATCATTAACACCAGTCTGTATGAAAATGCAGTAACTGGAAGCCATTTGAACCTTCAAACATTTTCGCTTTGGAACCAAGAATTTTATAAAGAAAATATTATTCAGAAGAATTACCTGATTAGGGTGTGATCTTTGCCTTTTTGATTTAAGTGGTGTGGAAGAAAAAGGACAAGGAATGCAGATATGGCTGAATAAGCCATGCTGGAATTCCTTTAAGCTTACTCTGCCATCTCCATCACTATCCAACTTGTAAAATAATTCTTCAAGTTCCTATAGAAAACATAGGGTTTTTAATGTATGGTTATCACAAGCATTCATTTAAGTTAAATGAATTAATTGTGAAATAGAGCAGATTTTCACAGAACATAAATTAGTATTCTAAAAGGCTTAGTTAATTCAACAAGCAGGCTCTGGTTCTCATAATCAGGATAAAATCTAACAAAGTCTTCAGTCAAGGTTAAACATTTAACCATCACATGCTGTAGCAGTTTAGCAGTGGGCTCTTATCACAAAAGATTTCCAGCATTGGTGTACTAGATTGAAAATCTCACCTTTCTCTGTATAGAATAAAAATGAGAAAAGTTCTTGTTTTCTTCATTCACAGAGAAAGACATTGTCTTCCCTCAAGTGAAGAAAGAGGTCATGTACTCTTTCCTCCATGCCAGAAGGACTACAGTAGGAGGTAAGACCTTCAGAGGGAAAGGCCATCTTTCTCCAAAGCCACATTCCCTGATCTCAACTAGCTTTCTGAAATAGGGACAATCCAGACCAAGGGCCTGAATCAGTTTCCCACTCCGAGTCAATCTGGATTCCAATCCCCATATCATGAAATTTACTGAATGATCATAAACCGTTGCTCTTCTTTCCAGCCTTTCCTACTGTAGAAGAGAACTGTGAGAATAAAATACAGGAAGGAAATAGCAGCTTGCAACAGGCAAGATATAAATGTAGCATGTATAAAGCTTCTTCAGATTTATTTAAAATACTCATATACTATTTGGAGGCAACAATTACAATTGCTAAAGCAGTGCACAGAGAATACTTCGTACACTTGAGGCACTGCCAAAATGCTGTAACAGGTAGTCCTCAACTTACAAGCACAATTGAACCCAACATTTATTTTGCTAAGTGAGACATTTGTTAAGTGAGTTTTGCCACATTTTAGCGACTTTTCTTGCCCCAGATGTTAAGTGAATCATTGCAGTTGTTAAATTACTAACATGGTTGTTAAGTGAATCTGCCTTCCCCATTGATATTGCGTGTTAGAAGGTCGCAAAAGTTTATCACATGACACCAGAACACAGCAACTGTCATAAATATGAACTGGTTGCTAAGCATCTGAATTTTGATTATATGACCATGTGGATGCCGCAACAGTCATAAGTGTGAAAATGGTCATAAGTCACTTTTTTCAGTGTTGTCGTAATTTTGAACGGTCACTAAACAAACTGTTGTAAATCGAGGACTACCTGTATATTCCATATGTAGCTACCATTTTCACATTCAGTCATCAAGTAGACTTTCTGAGATGAGAATTTCCAAAAGCCAAGTTTAGCCCACCTCTTTTTCCATCTCCTTGAGTCCAATGTTCTTACACACAGCATACAGCTCTTGTTTGTTGAGATATCCATTATTTCCAATGCCAAGATCTTCACAAGTAACCCTAATCTGATTCTCAGTTATGTTCAAACACAAGGTGGACACTTCTCTAGGATTGTCAATGAGGTTATCATCCCAGGTACACAATTGACCTACAAAAGATTATTTTTACATTAGCAAGAGCTGTGCTTCTAATTACTCTCTTGTTCTTATCAAAGATTATATAAGTCCTCAACTGAAAATCAAATTAAATTTATATTCCATCCTGATTTTTTCTCTAAACCCTTAATTTGGCATTTCTATTATCCATGGAAAATTTTTTATATTATGCAACAAAGATATTAGTTAAATATATCGTTATTAATTATACATATTTCAGTTGTAATATTTTATTTTTTCAGTAATACTCAAAAATATCAGAAACACATTATTTTATCTCCACTCTTTTCCTGCCTTTATTTAATTCTAAATATGGATGTAAAAGAAATCCACCAAGATCTGCAAGAAATGGTAAACCAGAATCTATGGTAAGCTTTTTTTATTACAAACATTTCCCTAATGCTTTTTTAAAAATGTTAAATGAGTGCTGGATGGCTGTTAAGCGGTTGGCTTTGCCCACCCTTGTAGAGATGCAGGTGGATGAAGGTGAATGGAAGCTGGCTGCCCAGTATTTTGCCTTTTCTGGAGCAGTTCAGCACCATATTTTGTATTACATAAAACGGCATTAGAGAAACAGAGGACATTAAAGCAGCTATGAAAGTGAACATCAAAAAATGCAAAGAAAGAATAGACTTTCTCAGGGATTTTATGTGAAATAATTATGCACACTAAATAAAACCACACTCAAAACTATTGTATTACAGAAAAATGTGGAAGATAGTGATTGTAGATATCCTTTTTATATGCTAATTCATTAGAAAACCCAACAGTTCAGAATACTATAAATGCAATTCAAATTTATACTGATTTGTCCATTATTAGCTTTAATAACCCAGCTTTCCAAGCTACATGTAAAACACAGATCCTATTATCTTTTCACAGAGCCCAGAGGAAAATGGACTAATGAGTGTCAAGATTTGCAATAGGGAATCTACTTCAGCCTGAGGACCAGCCTACAGTGGGTGGGACCAGTGTCCAAATTGAGTGAGACAACATCCCTGCAGATGTGTGATTTTGGACCTTCCTACACACATTCTACACAGTGAGACTTTAAAATGTTCCCCACTCATAAGGGAAGCAATTTTAAACCCTTGCTGTAACCCGTGGCAATACTTAAGAAAATGGTTCAGAAAAGAGGAGCTAATTTCTGTCTGAGATTTTTCTCTCTCTAAGAATATGAATTCAGATAAGCAGAAAATGGGAAGATCAGAGGCTCTAAGATAAGAAAGAGGGCTTCCACATGGCCAAGATGGATGACAGAGATTCCCACATAACTAAGCTAGATAAATAGATCTATTGCTATGCTTGGATTGCCTTCCATGGATTCAGTCTATAAGTTTACCTTATCCATTCCTATTCACTCTGGCTAGAGTTGGAGAGCAGAATTTGAATCAGAGAAACTTCGTCTGCAAGGAGTATACTCTGCCTTTTAATTAGAACTTTATATTGAGCTCATCTACTGAATCAGATAGCAAAAGTAGAAATTCCAGAAAATAAATAATAAAAAACAGGTTTCAGTGTTTACTACATATTCTTTTGCTGAGCCCCACCTTGGCCTTCGAACATCTGCTGCTGCTCTTCTTTTGAATTTTCAGCCTCTTCATCTGATTTGAGACTCTAAAAAAAGAGAACAGAATTTAATGTTCTATAGATTCAGTCTAATAGCCAGAATGAAGGATAGAAAAACAACAAAAGAAAAAGCAAGGGTGAATACAATACAATTTCAAATTAACTCTGCTTCCCATTGGCATCTGACTTCTTCCAGTGGCCTAACATGATATACAATATAGGGCAAATGACAATGTGTTGGAGATGTGACCTTCCTTGAGACAGTGTGAGATCCTGTGATGGTCATTAAATGCAAGGACTAATTGTAAATTTTCTTTTTCAGCACTATTATATACCACCAAATGGTTGCTAACAGAGCAATCATTAAACAAGATCTGTATAACTCATTTTTGCAGAGGCTGTCAAATTAGGAAACATCAATGCCTTTGTTGAATACCAGCCAGGCTTGGGGCATTTCCTGAGCATCCGGAAGAAATCAGAATACTGAAGAATTCCAGAGATTTATCAAGTCCAAGGCATCACAAATGTAACAAAAGAAACAATTACAACACAACACATGAGAGGTAGTAAAATGTAACACATCTATTTCAAATAGCTGGAACATAGACCTTTAAATACCTCCACACTCTCCAAAGAAGTTGAACGTCTCAGCTGACTTTTTACATTTGTATTTCTCTGCTCCTCTTGTAAATATTTGGGGGTTTCCAATATGGCACTTTCAAGTTCTGGCCTTGTCCGGCAGCCATACCCTTTGGCCTCAGTGATGTACTTGGGCTCAGTTCCATCTGGAATAACTGAATTGGAAATACTTTCAGTTCTAATACAAACAGTAATAGGGATAAGTCCCCTCCTCTCCACCTTCTTTTTGATCCCAAATAAAGCTTTTAAAAACATAACCAACAAACTATGAGTTCAAAATCTTGAGCTATTGAGGGCCATTATACTGATTGTAAGCTACTTATACGTGAGTCCTATGTGCTGTTGAATAGTAATAAAAGTTTTCACTTAAAACATTCATCATGGAACTATGCCCAGAGTTGGTGAGCACAATTGAGAGGATGTCACACGGCACATATGAGAACCTAAAGCTTATTCTCTCAGGAAACTTTCTAAAGCCATCTAATTCACCAAGGTAGAACAGAAGGATGGGTAAGTAGGCATTTGGATCCGATCCAACACTTTTTCTTTCTTTTTGTCAATTCTAACACCATTGCCCCAATAATCCTTCACTTTTTCCACTATTAGTATAACTCATTCCCAGCTGCTGTTCCAAGGATTTCATGCCTTACAGCAGCACCCAATTGCCGTCTCAAATTATACTTCCTTTTTCTTTCAGGTGCAACTTGTAAGTTTACTTTTTTATCTGTTATACTAAAACAGTAGAAGACATAGAAAATAAGTAAATGTTGAAATCAGTAAATAAAACTGTTGAAATAGGACTGCAGAGACCCAGGTTCAGATCTCTATTCAACCAGGGATCTCATTATGTGATCATTATGTACGAATCTTTCATTCTCAGTGTGATCTATCTGACAGGAATATTGTGAGATAAAATAAGGGGAGACCAAGGTAAGTTGCCCTGACATCCCAAAGAAAAGGTAGAATATAAAATTAATTAGACAATCCTCTTGATAGTATCCCATTTACACACATAAACTTTATATTAACTGACAGATATGAAAGGACATAGAGGAAACCATTTAAACTTTTTGTTCATGAACTTGAGAAATATATATCTCCAAAATAACTATTCTGTTTTTATCTCTGGGAATTTCATTATAGAAAGACAATTGATTTAAGTGCACAGAAGCTTACTTTTTATCATTTTCAGAAATCAATTAGTACAGACAGCCTCAGTAAGCAATCTATGGTAACTGTTTCATTAGTAATCCATCAGGCAGCAAATCATAATAAGATACTTCAATTGGTGGCTAAGTTAGATCACAGTCAAACTTAAAGCAGAAAATCCAAAACAAGATAAAAGAGAACATTTGTAGCTCGGGGTTAAACTGTGGGGTGCTTGGTGCTCTCTGAGCTTGGTGGTTTTCTTGCAGACGTTTCATTACCAAATTAGGTAACTAGCCTAGCAGTGATGAAGTTACCTAGTTTGGTAATGACAAGTCTGCAAGAAAACTACCAAGCTTAGAGAGTACTAAGGACCCCATAATTCAAAACCAGCCTCTTTTCATGCATTTCATTATTCATTCACCTGGTTCCAGATAGCTGCTCTCATCATCTGAAAGGCCAAGATTGATAGTTGAAGACAATATGGTCACAAAACCTTCCTTAAACTCTTCAAAATTAACCTAGTCAGACATAGGAAGAAAAACATTGTTCAATTGTCTTGAGCAGAATAAAAAAAAATTGTTCTCACTGCTGTGAGAATAGGTTGAAGTTGCCATAACCTAAAGATGAAGGAGGCACTTAAGCAGACAGGTCAAAAAGCCAGGAATCCTGTCTGGAACATCTCTTCAGGGAGGAAGATAAGAAAAAAAAACAAGTTAAGGAAACAAAAGGAAAAATGTCATCTGAACCAGACAAAGGAAGCTGGGCCAGAGCATATGGGAAAAAATACCAATCCCTTTAGGGATATAAGGCGTCTTGAAGCCTGTCTACCCCTTAGGTCATTTTTTTAAAATCCAATAGAGCAGGGGTGTCAAACTTCTGGCCCGTGGGCTGGTTTCATCATACCGAAGCCGTGCCAACCTCATTGCCAGCAATGCAAAAAGAGTTGCAATACAACGTGACACGTCACGTGACATGGCGAGTTTGACACCCGTGCAATAGACCTTCTGTCCCTCTACTTAGTGCTGCCAACCTACTTGAGGAGGATGTAGGTAAGCAGGATGAGTGTGTGTGTGCATGTGAAAAAGAACAAATGTATGTTTTGACCAGTAAAGTTTTCCTGGTGCTTTAAATTTGCTGGGTTTCTATGTATTGCAAAGAGGCTGATGTGTCTCAATCTTCGGTTAGAAGTGATATGTGTGAACCCCTATTTCCTGATTGTTGACCAATGTCCTGTCTATTCTAGCTGTACCCATCTGGAGAATCTGGGTAGAATGTAAGAAGGGCTTACAAATCTCAGTGCTTCAATAGGCTGTAACCTATGAGTGAGTGATTATAAGTATGTATAATACTACATGGGATAAGAGAAAGTAAGCTAGCAAGAAGCAGGACAATGCAGTGTCAAACCCAATCCTACATTCAATAAATCAGTTCAAAACTCATATATAAATCACAGTTTTACAAGAGGAACAATGGCAAAATGAATTTTTGCTACTCCAAGATTATACCTTTACACTATAGAGTCTTCTGTAATTTTTAATATACATTGCATTTCTCCTCTCTTCTGATAATTAAAGTCCTTTAGAGTTGCAGGTACCAATGTTTACTTCTTACACCAGCTTTTACAAGAGGAACACAAGTGTAGCTTGCAGCAATCCCAGGAATTCAAATATTGCTGATTTTGCATGCAATCCAATGCATGTAACCACATTGCAGAGATCAGAGAGAGAGAGAAAAGCTGAGCATAGTTTCCTGCGGCTTCATGAGACCTCATAAGAACTGACTGATACAAACATACTAGGCAATGATACAGTTAGACCCTGCTTGAGTAGGGGTAGTTGTCTTAAATTTTCTTTCCAGCTTTTTGATATAGAGGAATGATGGCTGTAACATCTCTGTTCTCTAATTCTGCCATATGCAGGATTTGCTGCATCATCTAATATACCAACACTGGGTAAATAACTTTCTCAAGATCAACATCACATCTGATTTATTATATTATGCAAACTAGCTATAGATTCCGTATTTATTTATTGGCAAACAAACTGGATGCCTAGAAAGGGAATGCTGGTTGCTGTGCTTTAATGCTTCTTCCATTAATGTTCTGTACTTTGGTTATCAGAAGTTTTCAAAGCTGGAAAATCCATCAATTAAGCTTAGCTCACTTCTCTTTCAGTTACCAATATTTCAAGAAGAGTTGTTTCTCATAAATCAGTTTAGTTGTACTATATAGTTTAAGGGATCATATCGCATCATATGCAAATGCCGAGACTTCCCATGGAAACAGTACAGCCACACTGCATATTTATTGCTACACAATTACTAATATTTTTATTAAAATAATCCATTGTTTTGAAGGTTGCTTGAAAATACATTACTACCTATTTCTTAATATATTTTTCATTCCATTGGGTAAGGGGCAACCAGGGCACCATCATCTATCAGATCTATTTTGCTTATTCTTTGTAGCAAGAAAAAGAAGAAGGTAAAGTCAGACTTTGGGGAGCACCATTTCCATACTAGAAATATTAAGTTTACTTCTACTTGCAGCAGTCTTTCAATAACACCTATGTATGGGGATAATTATCTTAGTCAATTCAAGAGAACAATTGGCCAGACCACAAATTAGGACAGAAAAAAGGCAATTATTTATAGCTCTATGGTGGGAAACAATGAGGAATATTATACATTACTATACACAATATATTAGTCTGGGTAGTACAAGCCCACCTAAAGTCCTAAAGAATAGAACTTAGGTTCTGCATCAAAAGAAATTGGCTGACATTACTGTTTCCAAAGTGAAAAAAATAGAATATAACTACTGCCTGCAGACAATCCTCCCATTTGAATTATGATTCACAGTGCAAACTATGGCAACTTTCAAGATCAAGTACTTACTTTCCTCACTTCTTGTGATGAAGAGAAAGGAATTAGCAGCTTCTAATTCTAAATAGCATTGCACTGTCATTACTATATAAGTGACAGACAGCTGGGTGGCTATTTAACTTGAATAACTTAACGTCATAACATAACATGCCATTAAGTTGAATTAGAAATATCTGAGCTCTTCTCCTTGATTCCAGAAGGTGAGAAAATATTTAATCCCAGAACTCCAAACCTTATCTTTGAGTACTGTCTCAAAGCAAACACCACCTGTAAAAATTATACAGTACACTGGAATTGGCTCAGCCAATACAATAAACATACCATTTTTATTACCACTTGGTAATAAAACTATTTTTATTACCACTTAGACTGCAACTGGGTTAACCCAACATGCTCAGCTTCTGGGACCAGCTTCAGTTGTGTTGATGGGGGAGAAATCTAGAACCATAACCCCATAGTCCCGTTTTCTGGGATTCTGCAAGGCTTGTTACTCTCTCTTGTTACTTTAATATTTATATGTAGTCATGGGGCAAGATCATTGATGACACCAAGTGAGGTAACACCAGTATGCACATATTACCCAGTTTTATATCTCCACTCTACTCAAACTAAGCTGTGTCCTGGTGTCTGGAGACAATGGGAGATGGGGACTCAGTGGCTCTGGATTTTAGACCCTCCAAGTTCAAGGGATTTTCCACTGTTGGTTCTGAACAGGATTATACTTCTCTGAACAGAACCTGTGCACAATCTGGCAGTCCTTCTGAATTTATGGCTTATATTTGAAAAACAGATGATAGCCGTAGCCAGGAGGGCTTCTGCAGAGTTTCATATTGTGTACCAATTGTGCCCATTCTTGAACCAAGACACTCTGCTGCAAGTGACTCATATTTTAGTCACTTGCAGAAAGAAAGCCTTTTCTATTGTGGTGCCCATTCTTTGGAATATCATCCCTCTGGATATTAGCCAAGTTGCAACCCTGCAGCTTTTCATACAGTTCTGAAGCTCGAGTAATACTGCCAGCATGCCTGAGTGCTTGTGTTTGGGAGGATCTGATGGGATAAAAAATACCAAGAACTAGATTTTAAAAGGTGAATGGGAAGGAGAAGAGAGAAAAGAGATACAGCTTTAACCTAAATGCCAAAAAGATGCTGTGTTGGGAACTCAAGAATGTAATATTCAGGTGCAGAAGCCTTGCAGTTACTTACTCGGGTAAACTGATTATTTCCCAAAAGTGTTTCCAGAAGTAAGGGGAGCTCTCCTTCCAGATGTAGTTTGTGGCACAGCTCAGTCAGCTCCTCCTTGTCCAAATACCCAGTGCCTGTAGCATCACAGCTGTCATACACATCCTTGAGCTGAGAGGTATATCTGTTCTCTTCCTCACCCATCCCATAGTATATAGCACACAATCTAGGAGGAATGAACCAGCATTTTAGGATGGGTTATTTCTTGATCTTAAGCATTATAATTGAAATATATGTACAATGTAACAGTCTACAAATAAAATCAATCAATATGCACTTTGTGTAATATTATGAAACTCCAATTAAATATTTTAAAACTAACAACTTAAAAGAGGTTTCTCATGCTTTTTTCTTATTCTTTAGAACAACTTTCCAAACCTTATGATCTACAAATATGATGAATCAAACCTAGAGACACTAAGAACTCAAACAGAATTCTATTTTTCATTTCTCTTGCAAAATTAGACATTTAACTGAGTTTCTGTCTTCAGTTACAAGTAGCGGTATTCCCCTGAAGCAGAGATCAATCCCTAACAAGTGTTGCATAATTGTTATGACCTTAGCCTGGAAAATTGCTTGCTCAGAACTGAGTTCAGCCTCATGAATTCACTCAACCTAAGACAGACCATTCATCGCTCTCTGTTTGATATCTACTCACTACTCAGCCTCTTGCAATTTCTCAACAAATAATTTAAAAAACAAATTAAGTAGACCAAACATTTTCAGCAAGTTGATCTGGACCTGAATAAACTCCATGAATGTGCTCAAACACTAATGAAATTAATATAAACATAAGGAATTGTCTTACACCAAGATCATTGGTTGATCCAAGTCAGTATTGTGTCTACAAAGACTGACAGCACTTTATTATGGCTTCATACAAATCCTGGGTGCCAGCATATGGAAGCTTTTGCACATAAACTTGCACTTTGCCACTCAGCTATTTTCCTTCTCCTGATCCGCCTCTAGCAACCTTCCAGCATTAATACAACTTTATTGACTTCCACTGCTGCATGTTACAGAAATCATTTAGGGTAATCCTTTTTATCTAGTGGATGGGCTAATGCATCATATTAATCTATAAAGGTGACTTTGGGGGAAAGATAATGTGCAAATTCAGTCACTGGGGTCCCCCTTCACTTTCTCTGTCACCATATCTTAAAATCTTTTGAAGCTGTGAATAAAAGATTAAAAATAAAGTAAATAGTGAAATATAAATGACACAACAGATAAAAATATTCATCAGTTCACAGCTGAGAACTAATTCAGATTATAGTGGGGTATATAAATAAAACCCAAAAAATATATTCACAATATTCAACTTGAACACTAACCAGACAGAAACAGTGAAGAGAGAAGATTTTAACAATTGCTTAAAGTTTATCAACGTTGAAACTCTCCCCGCAACAACAAGGGACGTTGATCCAGTGGCCCCTTCCCAGAAGCCCCTCTCTCCTGAGTAATCTTTTATTAAGGATTATTTAGTTAGGCATTGTACTTAATGGAGGAATATTGCCTCCCCCAATAAATAAATAAATAAATAAATGGCTGAACTAATGTGAATTACAAAATCCAACTGTGTCAAAACTCAGACAAGGTTCACTTATTAAAAGAAAACTCAGTCTTGCAATCTTTTGATATACCAAAGGAAAATAAAAGATTGGATGGGGAAGCAAATATAGGGGAATCAATACAAAAGAATTTAACATTATTCTAACTGAAATAATGAGAGCTGGTCTCTTATATGCTGTCATGAGTAACTCCCACATATGATCAGTTTGCTGATCTTTGAGATTTTATGTTATTTTAGATGTTTGGGGCACCTGTCTGGTTCAGTCCAAATATAGTGATGCATAAATTACATAAAAGAGATCATTAGTAGATCAATTCTTTTTTTAAAAAAACTGAGGTGTCTTCTACTCCAAAGCCTTTTAGGATTGAAGTATCAATTTCTTTTAATTTGTAATGTAACTATTTCTTTCCAGAAATATAACCAAGAAAAACATGAATGAAAAAATGGAAAACTGTATTAGTCCATAGCCCCCAAAATCCTCAAAGCTCATCCAAGCAGATTTTCATCTGATAGAGAAAAAAGGTTGACTCAAAAGTATTCTTGGCAGTACAACAGCTGTACTAATGCTAGAAGGCATATTAAAAATGCCTGAATAAGCATTTCTACCACAGAAATGCTTATGACACACTTCTTTCAATGTTTTAGGGCCAAACCACAGGCTATCATTTATCTCTTATTTCATTTGGGCCCCAGTTTCCAGCTGCTGGCTGCTTTTTGTTTCTCCCAAAGATCTAAGAAAAGCAAAGTAAGAGTCATGCAGAACCAAGTCAGGTTCTAAAACAGGCATGTGCAAACTGTGGCCCTTATGCAGCCCTGGATAGCTAGTAATGCGGCCACACAAGATCATAAACTTTTAACATTATTATGTTATTTTTAGCAATATATATATATATATATATGTGTGTGTGTGTGTATATATATATTAACTATATTATATATTTTATATGTGGCCCAAGACAATTCCTCTTCACCCAATTCAGCCCAGGCAAGCCAAAGGTTGGACACCATGTGTTAAAAGGTATTCAAGTATTCAAGGTGTAAATTTAGATACAATTAAAATAGTCTCCTTCAAATAGAGCTTGATTTCTGATGACTTATATAATTGAACCTCTGTGTAGAAATGCACAAGGCAACTCAAATGTACAAAATTTTACAAATTGCCCTTAATCTAGTGCCGTCCAGATGATGGGAGATAACTGAAGTTGAAATCTAAACATCTAGAGCAGGAGTCCCCAATTTGTGGTCCATGGACCAGCATCAGTCCACTGCATGCCAGCAACCGGTCTGCACAAACAAAGCCCCATTCATGAGATGCAGGCAGCATGCAAAACCACGCCCTCTCCGGTCCATGGAAAAACCTCTTTCCACGGAACTGGTCTCTGGTGCCCAAAAGATTGGGGGGCCCAGAACTAGAGGGCAACAGACTGTATTGTAGAGGTAGTTCTTGACTTACAACCAGTCATTTAGCAATAGTTCAAAGTTACGACAGACTTCCCTCAGGATACTTATGACCCTGATTTGAAATTCTGATGTCCCCTCCCCCATAGTCATATGATCGCATTTTGGGTGCTCAGCAACCAGCCTGTATTTACAGCTGTTTTCAGTGTCCAACACTCAAATGACCAGAATTTTTGATGTTTTTAATAGGAAATTAGTATTTACTTCTGGTTCTGGCAAAAAATGCCTATTGCAAACAATGTTCACTTAAGAACTGACACATTAGTTTAACAACCGTTGCAGTGAAGGTCATAAAATCAGGTACAGTCACATGATGACCCACTTACAACCAATATGATTTACAACTGTAATTCCAGGCTCAATTACAGTCATATATCAAGGAGTACTTGTATGTACTATTTCTTAAAAAAGAGATCTGAAGCATCCACACTTGGCTTCTATTGTGATAAAGCTGTGGTAAGTGGACCATTATTCTGATCAATTGAAAATGTTTTTTGCATTTCTAAAAATACCATCTTCAAACTCCAATAATTTCCTTGAGTTCTAATACGTTCTCATACAATATTATATAGAGGGTGAAATGGTTTCCAGTTTGCTTTCTTGATTAGTGAAGAAGAATGCCTTGGATTATGAAAAAAAAAATGAAAGATGGCCTTGCATTTATTTAGCACACACGACACAACTATTTATACTGTATGCAGGCTTCTTCAGGCAGAAACTACTCCTGCTTTGGTGAAGCCAACCTGTTCCTGCAAGATGCCACAATTGCTTTAGCAAATTGGTAGCAGTGGCCAAGAGGAAATAATAGTTAGTATCAAGAACTATAGGATCAGTACAAATTGTTAACCAGCAAGAAAGCATTTAGATTTTTGACACTAATCCCCAAATGAGGTTTCTGCTGAGGGAATAATATAAAAGGTGATGGGACAAATATTCCAACTGTCAGTTCCTTATTAAAATATCTGAGAGTATCAACAGGCTGAACTGGAGCTCAATCAAACAAACTGGCTTTCCACCTAAAACAATTTCAGATTATATTTGCACATCAGTTTTTCTGGTTTTACACAGACCCTTCAGTTATTCCATCACCCATTAAGCTTTCTCCAATTCCATTCTAATTAACCTCCTAAGAAAATATTGTTGCCTCCTTAAGTTATATAGTCATAATAAACAGATTTTCCTATTCAACTTTCCCATGTGTTTGATGAATGATAACCTACCCTTTATTGATAATACTTTTATCCTTAGTACCATATAATTCCACTACTATAGATCCTGATTTCACATATTGTTGGGACATGAACCACCCCATCCCTAAATGTTGTGTAATTATTATTGTTATATTTGTATTCTGCTTTATTACTTTATAAATAATTTAAGACAGAAAACATAAGTAATATTTCTTCCTATTTTCCCCATAACTCTGTGAGATGGTTGGGCTGAGGAAGAATAGCTGGCCCATAGTCACTAGCTGCTTTCATGACTAAGGCAGGATTTAAACTCATGGTATTCTGGTTTCTAGGCCATCACCCTAACCACTACTCCAAACTGGCTAAAACTCTTTAGGGATTCTAGACTTAAGTTTACTTTTTTATTAATCCTTTGTTTTGAACTTTTTACAATATAGCATTTCATGTCTATTGGAATTTTTATTTAGTTAATACCTGGCTCTTAAAGATGTTTTCCCCTTTGCCAAACAATGTACCTTTTCATACATTACAAATCTTCTGGCAAGACGTGTGTTATATTGTCCATTATTTAGTATAATGTTTCTGAACCTCAGCAGCTTTAAGATATGTAGATTTCAAATCCCAGTTGAATTTTGATAGTTGAAGTCCATACATTGACATAGTAATATTAAGTGCTAAATACCTTTTTTGTAAATCAATCTATTTTCCAAGCAAAGATGTAGGGAGACATTTCTAGTTCTGGAAGCTTCCAAACATCTCTTCAGAGTCTGTTATGGGATTGCATGGGACAATATTCTTAGAATAGAATAGAGCTGGAAGGGACCTTGGAGGTCTTCTAGTCAAGCCCCCTGCTCAAGCAGGAGGACCTATACCATCTCAGACAAGTGACTGTCTAGCTTCATCTTAAAAATCTCCAGCAAGCTGTTCCACTGGTTAATTGTCCTCACTGTCAGGAAGTTTCTCCTTAATTCCAGATTGCTTCTCTCTTTGATCAGTTTTTTGTCCTGCCCTCTGATGATTTGGTGAATAACGTGACCCCCTCTTCTTGGTGGCAGCCCCTCAAATACTGGAATACTGCTATCATGTCTCCCCTATTTCTTCTTTTCTTTAAACTAGCTAAACCCAAATCCTGCAGCCGTTCTTTGTATGTTTTAGTCTCCAGGCCTTTGATCATTTTAGTTGCTCTTCTCTGAACTTTTCCCAAGGTCTCAACATCTTTTTTGTAGTATGGTGACCAAAATTGGTTGCAGTATTCCAGGTGTGGTCTTACTAGGGTTTTATAAAATGGTACTAATAATTCGTGTGATCTTGATTCTATACCTCTGTTTATACAACACAAGATTGTATTAGCTTTTTTGGCTGCTGCTGCACACTGCTGGCTCATAGTCAAGTGATCATCCACTAGGACTCCAAGGTCCCTCTCATAGTTACTGTTTTTAAGCCAGGTTTCGCCCAATCTGTACTTGTACCTTTGATTTTTCCTGCCTAAATGTAAAACTTTGCTTTTCTCCACATTGAAATTCATTTTGTTGGATAGGACCCATTGTTCAAGTTTGTCAATATCTTTTTGGATCCTGCATTTGTCTTCTAGGGTGTTGGCTATACCTGCCAGTTTGGTGTCATCTGCAACTTTGATGAGTTCCCCTTCAATTCCCTCATCTAAGTCATTGAGGAAGATTTTGAAGAGTCCTAGGCCTAAGACGGAACCTTGTGGTACCCCACTGCTTACTTCTCTCCATGAAGATGTAGTGCCATTGAGGACTACTTGTTGAGTACAGTTTGCCAGCCAGCTACAGATCCATCCTGGTGGTGATGTTGTCTATTCCATCTTTTTCTACCGTAGCTTACCAAGTAGTAGGCTGTGGTCTATTTTATCAAATGCCTTACTTAAATCTAAATATACTACGTCCACAGCAATTCACTGGTCTACTAGTTTAATCACTTTATCAAAAAATGAAATAAGATTGGTTTGGCATCATCTGCTTTTAATAAACCCGTGCTGGCTACTAGTTATAACTTTGTTTATATAATTTATAACAAAGTTATATATGTTGAAAACTATACAGGAGATTAAGTATATATCAGTGCAAATAGGCAACAATATAGTTCTTTGCAAAACTGATGTTTACTCTTTGGGAATTAAGTACCAATATTTTACTAGGGCAGTTGTCTAAGTGTGTTTGTACAACTTTAATTTGGTTTAAATCTTAAGTTCTTCAGCACAAATGTTTTGTGGGTAATAGCTTCTCTCTCTTTTAATGATTATTATGGACTAATGTCTGATGAAAGAGGTAGCAATGATTTCCTTTTATTTAGTTTCTCCAAACAAAGGAAAGCCTAACGAGCATTTCATAGCTGCAATATTATTCCCTTGCTTTAAAACTTTCGGGGCAACCAAAAATTTCAGGAATCTTCATAAAGCAAATTGCTGAATGTTTTTCCGCAGTTTATGCAGCATAAACGGCTGCACGTTGACCATCTGATAACAGATAAAGGGAAGCAGCCCCCGATACGTTAAAGGAAGGTAATTCAGACTTAAGTTAGAATTCATGTCAAAACATGCTAAAAGCAAGTCACTGAAAAAAGAAAAACAGAAAGCAGTCTCCATGTCCGATCTGGAAAGTCTGGTTTTAAAACAACGAATAAGCCAGTTTTTATCGTAAAATAAAAAGTTTGAAGACGTGAAACCATAAGTAAAGCAAAAGCGGTGTTTTCCTATCCAGACGAAAAGAAGCGGCACAGACATACACACAGCCAAACCAAATTGCCCGCAATGGGGGAATTAAAATATTTCCTCTGAGGCCAGTGTTTTTCATACTTCACTTCACTTTCATTCTCCAGTGAAGGAGAAAGATTCGGATCCACCAAAGCCCGGCACCGCGCAACACACCTACTTTCTTTATTAGCCAAGCAGCATCGCCACCGCGCAGGCACCTCTGAAGAAAACTCACCCGCTGCGCTCCCAGCCTCTTTGTCTCCCGGGAGTCTGAATACCAGCGTGCACTCGGTTTCTCTCCTCAGGCGCCCCTCCCCTGGCGGCGGTAAAGGAAGCAGCCACCGGCTCGCAGGCGCTTCGGCCTCGCTTCCAGTTTTCCCAGCCTCCTTCCAACGGCTAGCCAGCTGCAGCTTTCTCGCCCTCGACTCCTCTCAAGCGGCTACCTCTTGGCAACTGCTGCGCGTTACCAGGAGGCGGCGAACTGGGCTCCAAACGGGTCTTCGGTTTCTGCTGTTTCAAATAGCGAAAACTGAGCGCAGCCGGGCTACCGTAGGAAAATTCCCCGAGATGGCTTTGGCTGCAGAAATGTGGGTGCTGCCCGGTAACATACACGCAATTAATATTTTCGTGTGGCGGAAGGAAAGGCCGATATACCATTTAACACAGAAGGAAAATATTCCCTATTTGATATGACTTATTCCATACGGGATTTGTGCGACTGTTGCCTTGACAGCTTCTTTCGATCTGGCAAGTCAGTTTTTCCCCAGCTAGCGTTCTTCAGCCGTCTTGGATTCCAACTACCATGGTTGTTGAGAATAATAGGAGCAGTTGTAAATAGCCCAACTCATTTGGAGGGCAGCGGGATGGGAAAGGAGGCTGTAACTTGTCTTAACGTGTTCATGTAAAATGGAAATACTTGTAAGTTAAAGCCAACTGGAATGATAGGTCCTTATCTTCTTTGTCACCTCCTATGCATGTGAAAAGCACTAAGATGACCCTTCTCAGCTTCCTCTTCAGAAGGCCAATACATGGAGTTCCTTCACACTCCATTGCAGATTCTAGTCCTCTGTTCATCCTCATTGCCCTTTTCTGAACTTGTTCCATTTTTTGGGAAAGCATATTAAGGTATAGTGCCAGAACTGAATGCAGTGAGGGGCTCTGATCAATGCAGAATAAAGTCAAACGTTACTCCCCCCCCCCTTCATTTACATTGTCTCTGTTCATACAGCTTAAAATTGGATTGCTTTGTTTTGCAGCCATATCACAAAGCTAATTTAAATTCATATTTGTATTTACTAGTATATGTCAACTACCGTTCCAAGATCTTTTTCATAAGTATTGATTCCAGGCCAGGGACTCCCAGTGCTTTTAATTTCTCATTCCTTAGTGTACATATTTGTTTTCATCCTATTTTATCTAACCTATGAAGACAATTTTGTGCTTTTGCCTTTCTTCTGAAGCACTAACTCTTCATAAGTTTTGGTATCATTTGTAAATGATAACCTTTTCTTTCTTAGACATAAAAATCTGATGGTACAGGGATTACTTATGTGGAATTTCATCTGATATTTCATTCCAATTTTATTTATTTTTATCCTGCCCTTATTATTTTTACAAATAACTCAAGGTAGCGAACATATCCAACATACCTTCCTCCTCGTATTTTCCCCACAACAACAACAGCCCTGTGAGGTGGGTTGAGCTGAGAGTGACTGGCCCAAGGTAATCCAGCAGGTTTTCATGACTAAGATGAGACTTGAACTCACAGTCTCCCAGTTTCTAGCCTGCTGCCTTAACCACTAAACCAAACTGGCTCTTGATGAGAATGTGATGAGAACATGCCACAAGCTTGGGGGAAAATAATGAAAGTTGAAGTCCGATACATCTCAAACGTACCGTATTGGGCTAGGCTACAACAAACACATATCCGATAGTATATAAAGGGCAGCAGAATCAAACAGTGAGCTCTGCTCCTATCATATTTCATAACACGTGTCAAAAAGGGGTGGAACTTATTATTTCTGCTGCTTTTGTCATTCCCCCCCATAGCATTTACATGGATATCATATTAGATGAGACATTGTGATCTAAGAGTAATTGGATTTGCACCTAGGTTATGCTAAGAAGAGGTTGTCTAGTTTGTGGTTCAGTTGCTATCAATGGTCAGTTTCTGATTCTGTGTATGATACAAATTGAGAAACCAGGATGCTGAGTTTTAGTTCTGTTTTAGGCATGAAAAGTGGCTGGGTAAATTTGGGCCAGTCATTCTCTCTCTCAACTCAACTCACCTCATAAAGTTATTATTGTGAGGAAAATAGGAGAATAAGGGTATGTTTGCTACCTTGAACTATTCATAAAAATAATAAAGGTGGGATTTTAAAATCTAAAAAAAGGGGGAAAAATGGTTCAGATAGCCATAAATCCAAGTGATCCCAGTTCCTAGTTATCATTTCTCAGCACATTTTGTATGTAAATGAATTGTGTAAAAACGTGATTACTTTGGGGAGAATTTTTTATGTGTAGATTATTTTATTCAAATATGTTTCTATTTTTTATATTTCTGATGCTTATTCTTAATTCAGTTTTAGAAAAGATTATTTTAATTATTTTAATTTAAAACCATTGAGATCCATAGGTGCTCAATTTTATTTGCATTTTAATAAATACAATTTAAAAAATTGATGCCTGCATAGATCTATTGCTAGATAGATAAGGCAATATGCATGTTTATCCAGAAAAATGTGAGGGAATCTCAGACTCTTAAGGAAAGTCAGTTTCTGATTAGCAATATTACAATCACGTTTGTCATGCAATAGGCAAATGTTTTCGTATAGTTTACCAATGTGCAATAGTGAGATTAGTAGATTCAAAAATATGGTTTTAAAGTGCTTTTTTCATTAATTCCTTGTATACTATTTTTCTTCTTTTAAGAAGTTTCGGATATGGTTATATATATATTTCTACGTCCACTTTTCTCAGTACCTAACATAAAGTAAGGCTTTCATTAAAAAAGACAAACTCTCTTTGAGCAAGAAACAATGCTCTTCTGGCAGTTTAAAATATATCAGATTCATTAGGGCACACACTTTAAAAATAGTAATTGGAGCCGCTGCTCTTTAACTATATGCTCACTAAACCCACGTTGCACTTTCAATTGCTTTCAATACTGTAGACCAGGAGTCTTCAAACTTGGCTCTTTTATGACTCGCGGACTTCGACTCCCAGAATTCCTCAGCCGGTCACGCTGGCTGAGGAATTCTGGGAGTCGAAGTCCACGAGTCATAAAAGAGCCAAGTTTGAAGACCCCGGCTGTAGACGGCTCTCGCTCCCGCTCTGGAATGGAAAAAAAAGTAGAATGGTACCAAACATCCTCGTCTAAGACAGACTCTACTATTCTACTCTAAGGTAACGAGCGTAGGGCTTCGTTCAGCGTCCGTCTGTGCGTCATGGGGGCGCGTCGGAAGAGAGGCAAGAGCGCATGCGCCGCTTCGTGGTTTGTCTCGCAGGAATTACGTCGAGCGGGCCTTTCGGCACGTTGAACGTTCTTGGTAGAGGCCGGGGCCTAGAAGTGAAGCGATGTCGGGGGCTACGGGAGGCGTGACGGGCTCCGCTCGGAAGCGGCTGTTGAAGGAGGAGGACATGACAAAGGTGGAGTTCGAGACCAGCGAAGAGGTGGACGTCACCCCCACTTTCGATACCATGGGCCTACGGGAGGACCTGCTGCGCGGCATCTACGCCTACGGTGAGTGGGGGGGGGGGCTGGAGGGATGGGCTGAGAAAGGGGGAACGGAGTTAGTTGTGTGGCCGCACAACTTCAGAAAGCGGTAACGAAGCGAAGGAGGATCAAGAGCGACAAAGCACAGGAGAGCTTCCCAGCTGCTTTTCCGGTTCCCCCGCCTTCTCTAGCCCTGTTCACTCGTTCCAGGATAGCTGGGCCTTAAATGGAGTCGCTATGAAATGATGGAGCAAGGAAGGGTCAGTGTCGGACTTGGATTATGGCAGGGGTCCTCAACCTTGGCAACTTTAAGACTTGTGGACTTCAACTCCCAGAATTCCTCAGCCAGCTTTGCTGGCTGAGGAATTCTGGGAGTTGAAGTCCACAAGTCTTAAAGTTGCCAAGGTTGAGGACCCCTGGATTATGGGGCTTCCCTCTGGTATTTGTTGATCATTTTTATGGAAGCCTCTGTAGATGGGCCCTGAAGGCCCATCTATTCCATGCGGCCGGCCTGGCGTAGTTTGATTATGTTTTAGTGGGGTTTTTGTATGGGGTATTTTTAGAGCAGGCCTGTTATTTAATTTGATTTTAGAACAGAAATCTGCGTATATTTATCATGGTTTTTATTATCGCCTGTTCACCGCCCTGAGTCCCGTAAGGGAGATAGGGCGGTATAGAAATTCAATTAATAATAATAATAATAATAATAATAATAATAATAATAATAATAATAATAATAATAATGGCATTTCTAAATAATCCCCAAGCAATCGGCAGATGTTTGAAGCTCTGCTTGCAATGCTCGCTTCCAATTCTGTCCTTCTGTTTTAAAGAAGGGTGTTTGTTGAAGTGAGAGGTAATGAGATTTGTAGTTTTAACTTTTGCGAGCCCATTAACATTCTTGGTAAATTCCTAAGTGGGTGGAAGTTTTGCCATGTTACATGAATCTAGAGATCAGTTAATTTCCATGTTATTACCCAAATAAACCTGTAATACATAGGGTAAATGTTACTTTGTCAAGCAATGATGTATGAACCCAAAAAGAGAAAGTCATCTTCCTCCAGGCCTTGGAGATATAGCATTAGAGCCTAAGGCAGTGGTTCTCAACCTTTTTAATGCCGTGACCCCAACCGGTCATAAGTCGAGGACTAAACCGGTCATAAGTCGAGGACTAAACCGGTCGTAAGTCGAGGACTAAACCGGTCGTAAGTCGAGGACTACCCAACCGGTCGTAAGTCGAGGACTTTCCCTGCCCGGGAGCGCCGCACATGCGTGGTTCCGCCCCCTGCGCCGGCCGAGGCGTATCTGGCAAGCGGCAGAGACGGAGCAGGCCGACCACCAGCTGGCCCAGCCCAAGGGAGGTAAGGCACCCGCCGGAAAAGGGGAAAAATGGCAGACAAAAGAAATGGCGGACAGCCTTGCTTGGCGACCCCCATGAAATGGTCGATCGACCCCAAATGGGGTCCCGACCCACAGGTTGAGAACCACTGGCCTAAGGCAACTGTTCAGGAATGGCTCTCTTCTAGGCAGTATATTTTGCTTT